GCAAGGCAGAGGAGCAGGAATCCCACTGCCAAAGTGGGAGCTGGCAGTGCAGGGGAGCAGGAATCCCACTGCCAGAGGTAGGAGCTGGCAGAGCAGGGGAGCAGGAATCCCACTGCCAAGGTGGGAGCTGGCAGAGCAGGGGAGCAGGACACTGGTCCTGCTGCCCTGCCCAGGAGGAGGCAGGCAGGGGGACACAGGGGGTGGCTCAGACATGCAGGAAGGTGGGAGTGAGGCCACGTGTCTCCAGGATGAATTCAAGTGTCAAAACCATAACAATAACAATAATTAAGAAGAAAAAAAACCTCCCCACCCCATCCCCAGTACGAAACCCAACGATGACAGCACCCAGCTTGCACCGTGAGGTAGCTAAACCAGATCAACACCCCAGAAACGCTCTCCTGCATGGGAAACATCACCCCACACAGGCACTAAGACATACACACACACATAGACACACAGAGGGATGGGATCACTGTCACCCCTGCCCTTGTTCTGGTCAGGACAGGGTGAATTTTCGCAGTAGCCAGGAGGGGGCATGGCCAGGACCCTGAGGTTATTTTATACCACCTAATGTCGTCTCTTCCAGCTGTGGTAGCAGGCTAAGCTCTTAGGTGAGCATTTTGCATGTGAATCACTCTCTTTTGTACACTTCTGTTATTAATATTGTTGCTGTTACTGTTTGTTTTCTTCTCTCACTGCTGTTTGGAGTAAATTGTTCTTATTTCAACCTATCATCTTTACCCTGGAGCGGTGCATGGTTTTAGTGAGAGTACTAAATTGGAGAATACCAGTCCTAAACCAGGACAGCTTTATTTGGCACCCAAGGTGGGGCTCAAAGGGTTGAGATAACAACAGATCTGCTCAGAACAGGTTGGAAACAAATTGGATCTAAGCATTTGCTGTACTGGGGACAGAGCCATTGGTCACAATGCTGCTTGGTCTGTTCATGGGGGCGTGGTACCTAACCCTGCATATACTCCCCTATGTGCTCCTCAAGGTGCTCTTTTTCAGAGCAGGGAGAGGGATCAGAATCGCTTTGTTGATGCAGTGTGGGATATCAGTTTATGACATGATAACATCAAGAGCAATGAAGGTCGTTTGGGATGTGTTTTCAATGTTACTCTCCTACTCTTACCTTTGGGAGTCCATTAATAACAGTACCCAGCCTGGGGGGGGGGAACAGGGGAGGATGATTTTCCCCACCCTTTCACCCCCTTTTACTCCTTCAGGCCTGTTACAACAGCTTTTGAGACTTCTGAATTCCCTTTGGATGTTAAGGAAAGCATGTTCTTGTTGCTAAGCCTGCCAGGTCTCCTCAGTGCAGCCTATGCTGTGTTTAGAGCCAAGAGATTTCTACAAAGGTTGTTCAGAGATCTGCCCCAAGGAGGGGTAGTCATGAGTGGCACAGAAGTGGGAGAAAAATGGGACAGTTTTGGGGAAAATTCTCTGCTCCAATGGTTTGGAAGTTCATCCCTGAACAACTACAGGACCCTAATAAAGTAACAGAATATTTGCAAGGAGAATGCTGTGGCAACTCCAGAGAGGAGCAACTCATTGCTGCGTGCTGGGCCCTGGCTGCTATTTTGTCAGACACTGCTTGTCACCAGACAGCACCAGACAGAGGGGGAGGAGGAGGAAAACAGAGCAACAGGCACTGTGGCCACTCAAACTGCAGCTGAGCCAGAGGAACAATCCATGCTGGTAACAGTCACCCCTGCACAGAACAAGAAATCCAAGACCAAATCAGTTTGCACAGTGAGGGATGAAGAGAAGGAGGGCCCTCAGAACAGGAGGAAGAGGCAGGGCCGGAGATAATCACCTGATCCCCATCTTGGTGAGCTGCAAGATACCTGAAAAGATTTCAGCTGTCACCAGGAGAGCCCCTGGTGACCTGGCTGCTCCAGGGCTGGGATATCACAGCCCACAACATGGAACTAGAGAGTAGTGAAGTCAAGCAGCTGGGATCCCTGTCCTGGGATGTGGGCACTGACCAGGGGATTGGGAAGAGGACAGACACTCTCAGCCTCTGGAGGCCACTGTCAAGTGTGAGGGAAAGGTGTTCTCTCAAGGGTGATCCAACAGTGCACCGAGACAAGTGGAACACCACAAAGACAGGTATCCAGTGCCTGAGAGAAGCAGCTGTGCTGGAGCTAATCTACAGGGATTCAAATAAAAAGCAGTCCCCTGTAGATCCAGAGGAGGTCCAGTGCACACAATCCATGGGGCAGAAGTTTGTACAGGGTGCACCATCATTGTACGCCAACTCGTTGGCATTGATGTCAGTGAAAGAAGGAGAACAAACAGTGCCTCAGTCACTAGCTGACTCCAGCAATATGAAGATCATCTTTTTTCCTCCCTACTGACCTGCAACTCCGCTGTGGAAAGACTGTCCAAGACTGTGGACAGACTTGAGCAAGTTATAGAGTTAATGTCTGACGCCCTGCCAGTGTGGATCAGTCTCTGCTGTTGGGAGCAAGTGCCCCCCTGCTCCAGAGAGGGGGGACACACTATGAGATAACCTGTGGTTTTACCTACATGACCACAGAGAAGACATGAAATGGGATGGAAAACCCACCTCTGCCCCAGCAGCAGGGGTACATGAGTCGAGAGGAAGAACAACCACCACAGAAATTCTTCAAGGATAAATGCCACTCCACTTTCCAGTGGGCAAGTCCTCGGGCAGAAGAGGAGGGTTGATGTTCCTTCTGATCCTCTCGAAGGGACCTCCAGTTTATATTTACAAGAAGTGAGTAATGAGTATTTGTGACCAAGACTAGAGGGGCCCTGCCTCCAGCCAGGTGGAGGAAAGGGGCAGTCGGATCTACTGGACTGTGTGAATGTGATGGCACATCAGACCCACAAGAGTATAAGGCCTTAGTGCCCAGTGCACAATGTACCCTGATGCCATTGAGATATGTAGGGGCAGAATCCATTTCTTCTCTTCCAGGGAGAAGGGGTCTCTTCTGGTCAAGGTAACATGGCTGGGGGTCAGGTCAGGGGCTCCATGGTGAGCATTTTGCATGTGAATCACTCTCTTTATTAATATTTTTGCTGTTACTGTTTGTTTTCTTCCCTCATTGATGTTTTTCAGTAAATTGTTGTTATCTCAACCCATGATCTTTACCTTCTGTGCCTCCAGTTCTCCTCTCCAGTCCACAGCAGGGGACTGGGAGGGGGAGCGAGCCATGCATGGTTTTAGTGGGAGTACTAAATTGGAGAAAATCATCCCTAAACCACAACACCCCTCACTTCAAAGACCCCCACCTTGGGATGCCAGTGCTGCAGTATGAGCTCCCTCCCTCCACAGGCAGCAGGAGCCTTGAAGCCCCTCAACACACTGCTGGACCATAGCTGCAAGGGATGCTCAGCACATCCAGGACTGGCCACTCAGCCCTGGAGTATTAAACAGGCACCTGTAGCCTGCACACAGGAAGAAACTGGTGGTGAAAAGCAAGGCAGGTCCGACCCTCGGCCCCCCAGAGCTCCCCTTCAGCAGGAGCAGCAGGAGATTTCAGGGCAGGCACTGGCAGATCTCAGTGCAGACATTGATGCACACGTGACAGCTGGCTACAGCCAAACACACCCCACCATATACACACAGCCCCCCTCTGGCCAAGCAAAGGTTAAACCAGCTGAGGAATGAGCAGGGAAACCCTCTCCCAGACAGGCTTGGGGGGGTGACACATCCTCCAGACCCCCATGTCTGTGTGTTCCTGGGTGGCTGAGGTGCCCTGGACATTTCTGGCTGTGCCCCCAGTTCCACAGGTCCCACGGGATGGGTGGGCTCCTCACCTCAATACACTCATCAGTCCTGGCTATGCAGGGCTCAGCCACAATCACAGGGGACCAGTGACTGTTCTGGGCAGGGTCACACACACACATGCCATACGCCCTCCAACAAGGCAAGTCAGTAGGATGGAATTTTCCCCCCAAAAGGCAACCCCCCCACCCCATCAATTCAACAGAGGTGCTCCTGTCTTTCACAATGCAGAGGAATCCCCATTCTCCAGCCAGAATATGTAAAACAAGGGCTGACAGCAAATGACCTGGGGTTGGTCCAGGTGTCACCATGGTTGGAGAGAGCAGAGGGGAAATGGTCTGTGCTTTATAGGGCAGGTCCTGGAACCCTTGGCCTCCAAGATCCCAGTTCAGTGCTGGTGGGATCACATGGAGAAATCCTTAAATTTGAGTTCAAGTGCTGCTTCTTCTGTGACAAAGGGGAAAGGAGAGTATGTGAGGCAGCACCCATCCTGGAGCCTCCTTGGCCACCCCGTGAGAGCTCTGCGTGGCCCAGGGCAGGACGGAGCAGGGGATGGTCCAACAGGCCAAAGGAGAGATGGAGGGAAGCTCCAGTGTGAGACCAGGGCCTTGCCAGCCCCTGGAACAGGAGAGAGAGAGGAAGGAGGCTGGAGAAGGTGCATCCTTGGGGAAACACTCCTGGATGGAGATGGGATTGTGCATCTGCTGCAGGATTGTCCTTCGAGCGCAGGGAGAGTCAGGGGACTTGTGCGAGACCAGTGTGTGCAACCCCCTCCTTACTCTCCTCCTGGCACAGCAGACTCCAGCTGCTCCAGGCCTTGCTGGGCCCTCTCCATCCCCAGATCCATGGAGACCAGCAGGCCCAACCTCAGCTAGCTCCAACCCAGGCAGAGGGCCGAGGGCAGAGCCCAGGGGAAGGACAGACAGGCCACAGCAGTGGGGCTGACAAATCCAGCCTTGGCTGTTTTGCCCTGTAACCTCCATTCTTGCTTCATTTCTCCACCTCGAGGGAGTTAATGCGCTGCAGGACCCACAAACCTGTGCTGGGGGTCACAGTGTCCAGAGCAGGGCTGAGCAGCCCATCCCTCCCCGCTGCAGAGCAGGGTGGGCACGTGGGGAAGAGCCCAGAGCCATGGGGCAGTTGGGGTTACAGCTGGGGCTTGAAGAACTTCGAAGGGCACTGCAGCAGGTTTGTCTGGAAGTTGCCTGACAGAGATCTTTCCAGGCTTGCTGTGTCTCCCAAGATGGGACATGGCAAAGGAGCTCAGAGGTGCCCACCTCCAACTGCAGGGGACATGCAGCCCCCAGGTAGACAGAGGATGGGGAAGAACAGGAGTACCAGGAAATCCTTCTGCAGCCCCCACAGCAGAGAGGTGTCCCACGAGTAATGGCTCCAGAGAAGCACCCTCTGTACTTGTGTCCTGGCCAGCAGACACCAAATGTCCTCGTGGTTGTGGAGAAGGACTCCTGCAGGAACCAGCCCCAGAGCAGCACTTCACAGCAGAGGCCACACAAGCCCACAGTGGCAGGAGGGAACTGGGTGTCTCCAAGAAGGAGCCAAGGAGCTCTGACCCCCAGAAGTCCTTACAGCAGGATGGGTGAGAGGAGAGATGAAATATTTCCTGGTCACCGGAGAGCCATCGAGAAACCTCAGCAGGAGGGAAGGTGGAGCTGTCAGTGCCCCACAGAGCTGCCAGTGCCCCACAGGAGATGGCAGTGCTCAAAGTATCACATGAGGTATCCTCCACCCCGTTGGGTCAGGCACAAAGAAATCCCTGTGCTGGGCTGAGTGCTCCTGTAGATGAGCGAGTCCTAATAGCAGGGGGAGGCACCCTGACCTTCACCCTGCTCCCAAGCCTTCCAGTCTTTCTGCAGTTCCTAGTTTGACCCCGCGGGCAACCTCCTCCCACTCCAGAGCTTCACTGTCAAGTCGCTGAGGAACAAAGGTGAGAGGGACAGCATGACCCAGGGGTTGGGGCAGGAGCCCCGCAGACGCTGCACGGAGGACCACGAGGGGCCATGCTCCCCTCCCCACCCATGGCAGCATGCAGCCCCCAGAACTTCCAGGCCCTTTTCCCTTGGTAGGAGGATGCCCAATGCACTTTGGGGAGCGGGCAGGCCCAATGGGGCTCAGTCCACTGGCAGCAGGTGGGGACAAAGGGAAATGGTGACCTCCAGGGCTGACCCCACACCATGACTCCTGCCCCCCTTGGTCCCAGCACTGATGTCCAGGGAGCTGTTCTGCTCAGTCCCCCCGGGGCACGGGCTGATTTGGGGGTGGCTGCTGATTCCCAACCCACTATCCATGCAAAGGTGTGGGCAGGCCACGGCTTCCACAGAGTTGCCACAGTGGATGTGGGCACTTGGCAAGGAAAAAAAAAACCAAAAAGCAAATTAAACCAAGGCAGGGGGTATGGCTGGGACAAGGGGACAAGTCCCTTCTAGCAAAGACTTATCAAGTGGGGAAAAACGCAGAATAGTTTCATACCGTGAAGAAGCAGCTCAGACCAGAGAGAAAGAGGGGAAAAAAGAGAGAGAAGAGCAAAACTGACAGTGAGAGGGACAGAGGGAGGGAGAGATGGAGAGAAAAGGGAAGGAGAGACAGAAGAAGAGCACATGAGCAAGAGAGTCAAAGAGCAGGAGGGTCAAGGCAGACTAGTAGCACGGCCCTTTATGGCAAGGACGCGTCGTGGAAGGCAAGGGGTGAGCCCAGGCACGTAATTCCATAACTTTACCCGGCAGTCGCTGTGGCACAGATGGGAGGTGGGGAGGAGGAGAGACAGAGAGAGACAGAGAAAAAGGAAGGGAAAAAAGGGACATGGTCGAAAAGAGGGTATCAGAGTCTTGCTGCCAAAGAGCTCCCCAAGAGCAGCAGGGGATGCCCAGCCCCGGGGGAGAGGGGTCCCTGCATGGGGGGTAACCCAGGGCGTCACCAGAGAGTGGGCAGGGGATGGCTGGGGACAGCTCTTGTCACCGTGGTGGGCAGGCCATGCCATGGGCAGGCTAAAGTGGGCAAGAGGAGATGAAGGCGTGGAGGGACTAGAAAGCTGTGAGACTCTCCCCTTCCCTCCCTCCCCACTCCCTGTCCACCCAGCACACACCCACCCAGGCCCAGGGGTGACAGCTCAACCCCAGGGTCTCCCCCTTCCCAGGGTCTGTGGGGGCAGAAAGCCTGAGGCTCACCTGGAGGCAGTGAAGATGTGCTTTGAGTTGGTGCAGATGGCGTTGATGGGGCTGTCGTGCCCCTTGATCTCCCCGACTGGGGTGAAGGTGTCCACGTTCCAGACTTTGATGACACCTCCTCGGCAGGCGCTCAGCACCATGGGGCGGCCGGGGATGAAGGCCAGGGCACAGACCCAGTCTTTGTGGGCATTGGGGATTTGCTGTAGGGATGGGCACAGAGCAGAGGTCATGACCAACCTCAGCTGCAGCACCACCAGCAGCCTCACACCCCCAACCCGGTCAGCTGGGTCCTCAGTGACACCCTGGGACTGTGGGACTGGTGATGCCCAGTTAGGAGCCAAGGGGATGGACTCAAAAGTCAGGGCTTGGTTTCTCCCCTGGGCCGGAGACAACCATCCTGAACTCAGAGGGGAACACAACCCCCCGCACTACAGCTGGTCCTGAGCCTGTCTGTGGGGGAGCTGGCAATCCTGAGTGCCCTCACCCACACCCAACCCAGCATCAGGAATGTCCTCCCTGGTGAGCTCCATGCAGGACGCTGGCACTACATCCCTGGACAAGGGTCCCCCCCCGACCCCAGCAGCAACATCCCTCTGCCCCACATCACTGCAGAACTGGTGCTGTGCTCCCCTCCAGACCTGGGTAAGTTCCTGCTGCTCCAGATCCCACTTCTTAATGCCGTTGTCCCTGGAGCCGCTGAAGAGGACATCTCCCTGGATGGCCAGGCACTCGATGCCATCGTAGTGAGGGGGCTCGAAGTTGTGAGTTGGGCCAATGTTGCCCACCATGCCCTCCGTGATCTCAAACACCTGGGGAAGAGCAGTGGGTAACAGAGCACAGATGGCACTGGGCACAGAGCTGGCCCTCTCCTGAGGACCTCTGTCTTCGAGGCTCAGGGCACCCAGAATGGTGCTGGAAAGGGGAGTGGGCATTGCCAGCTTGAGGCTTTTTGGGGCTGAGGGTCCTGCCACCACCAGAGGAGATCTGTCACCAGGGACAGCCCCACTCTGTTGCATTTTACTCCTGGTGAGCCTTTACACTCCCCATAAGCCAAGCTGACAGCTGAGTGGGATCCTGTCTCACCATCTCACCATCCCTGCTCACTTGCCTGGTGCCAGCTCTAATTCAACTTGCTAAAACCTGAAATGAAGGGACAGGCTCCTGCTGTGCTGGAGCTGTGACTGAGCAGGCACAAAGCATCTATATCAGGCATGGGGGGAGAATTGAGCAGAACAGGGTGAGCTGCTCATCTGGGTCGGCCATCACAGGTCAGTCCCAGCCACAGAGTCCGAGGGACAAGAGAAATGCAAATCCTTCTCAGAAGGTGCATTGTGGACCAAGCAAAAGGCAAGATTTGGGAAGAGGAGACAAGTGAAAACCTCATATACAGAGGCAAAACCAGAATCTGGGCTCAGCTTTCAAAAGGAGAGAAGAGACCTCAGGGGTTGCCAACATCTGGGCTTCTCTACAGGACACGGGGTGCTGATCCCCAAGGAAGAGAGTACCTTGACGTAGTGATCTTTGGAACCTGTGACCACCAGGTCGTGGTTGCTCGCTGTCTGGTTCACTGTGAGACACATCACGGGCCCGATGTGGCCGCTCAGCTTTCCCACAGGCTGCAACCTGGGTTCAAGGGCAGAGGTCAGCCCCCTCCTGGGTGCTGCAGCTCCTCCAAAAGGCCCTCCCAGGCAGAGACCACCCACCCCTCACCCAGCACTGGAGCCCCACAGGAGGGGTTATTCCCTTCGGGGGATAGTGGGCAGGGAGATCTCATTCCCAGTGATGCTGGGGAAGGAAGGCAGTCTGGGGGTGTGCCAACATCTGGCTACACAGCCTGAAAGTGTGCCAACATCTGGCTGCAGAGCCCAGGCTGCAGCACAGGGTGTGCAGCTCAGTGCCCAATAGGCAGGTAGGAGGGCAAGGGCAAAACCAGGGGGTAGTGCTGCTCATCCCACTTGTCTTCCCCCTTTCTCCTGAGCTCTGCCCAGTGCACAGACAAAGCCCCCACCCCAAGTAGCTCCAGTGCTGCTCATCACTCCTCAGGTCTCATAGGAAAAGGTCCTGAAATTCCTTATTCCAGTCAACTCCCATTACTAAAAAGGCTTTCACTTTTCCCAGGGGGATAATTTCAGGCCCCCACAAGGTGTCCTGCCCAGCTCAGCACCCCCCTCACCTGCTCAGCTCCCAGATGCGGACGGCGTTCCCGGCAGCGGCGTAGAGCGTGGTGCCCGTGGGGTTGAGGGCGATCTGGTTGATCTGGTGCTCCCCCTGCACGCTGGTGACCGTGCGGGTGGTGGTCCCAGCACAGGCGTCCCCAGAGATCACCTGTCCAGAGGATCTAAAGAGGAAAGAGAGAGGCCAAGGGGGGAGGATGAGTGGAGATCAGAGCCACTGAGGAACTGTCCCTCTGGCCACAATGAGACCAACAGGAGCTCTGTCCCCCAGACCAGTGCCCAGCCTGCAGAGGCAGCCAAGGATGTCGGGTCTGTGCATGACACAGAGCATGGGGCCCTGGTTTCCATCTGAGGGCCATTCTGCTCTCCTCCCACTCCTTTCTGCTTCACACAGGAAGACCTGGTGAGTGCTGGCATCCAGCATAGGGAAGCAGAGGTCTTGACCTCTGCACCAAGGGGAAAGCACCTTCAGGTCAAGGCAGATGAGCTGAGGCTGGACAGAGAAAGGAGCTCTGGGCCAGAGTGAGTGGGTAACTCTGGTCCACCATACTCTCCCCTAACGTTTGAGCCCTACTTCAAGCTGGCAGCCACAGCTACAGCCTGCTCCATGCTCCTTTCTGGTCCTCAAACTCCTCACAGAGATCTGAGTTCCCCACTGGAGAGCTTGAGATTTACCCAGCCACGATGCTGTTGGGGCTGCTGGCTCTCCTGGCCACTCTCAGAGTAGCTCCAAAACCTCTTCAAAGCTCTTGACCCTTAACAAGGGAAAATACTGGATTCTGCACCTGGGATGAGGCAACCCTGGCTGTGTGTATAGACTGGGGAACAGGAGGACTGAAGAACAGCTGGAGGAAGGGACCTGGGGGTCCTGGTCAATGGAAAGTTGAATGTGATTCAGGAGGGTCAACCATGTCCTGGGTGGCATCAGGCAAAGCATCACTGGGTGAGGGAGGGGATTGTCCTGCTCTGCTCTGCACTGGGGTGGCCTCACTTCAAGTTCTGGGAGCAGTTTTGGGCACCATAATACAAAAACCTAAGCCATTAGAGAGCGTCCAGAGGAGGATGGGGGTCTGGAAGGGAAGCCAAAAAATGGCTGAGGTCACTTGGTTTGTTCAGCTGGAGAAGAGACTAAGAGACTAAGAGGAGACCTCATTGTGGTCTTCAGTATCCTCACGAGGGGCAGGTACCCATCTCTTCACTCTCATGACCAATGACAGGACTTGAGGAAACAGCTGGAGTGGAGTCAGGGGAGCTTTAGGCTGGATATCAGGAAGAGGTTTTTCACCCAGAGGGTGGCTGGGCACTGGAACAGGCTCCCCAGGGGAGTGGCCACAGCACCAAGCCTGAGTTCAAGAAGCAATTGGACAATGCTCTCAGGTACAGGGTGGGATTGTTGGGGTGTCCTGTGCAGGGCCAGGGGTTGGACTCAATGACCCTGATGGGTCCCTTCCAACTCAACATATCCTGTGATTCCGTGATCCTGAGCCTTCTCTGCAGAAGGTCCCCATGGCTCTCCTCACCCCAAATTCTCCCACAACCTCCCTGTTCCCTAAGGAAGCAGCACTGCAAACTGGCACTAAAGGAGCTGTTACTTGGTCCTGTCCCCAACCCCTGTAGGTCCTGGGACCGGCTCCTGCAAAGCCAGAGATGCCCAGAGTGCCCCGGGCTCCCAGAGCCGAGGGGACGTACGTGGAGGGTTGGCGGATGCAGCGGGCGGCAGTCGCGGATGGTCCACATTTTGATGTACGAACGTGGACACGGTGAACACAGCCCCGTGTGGCTGCATACTTGATGGAAACACATGTTTTGGGGTGACCCTTTGAGGGAGGCGATTTTTCCGGCCGGTCACAGGTTTTCACATTTTGCAGCTCGGTCTGTGGGAGGAAGAACATTCCAGAGTGTAGAGGCGGGTCTCCTCCGAGGAGACAACGTCTGTTCTGAGCATCTCCCCCCTCCCACAGGCCCAGAGGGAAAGGAGCCAGCCAGCCCCTGCACTGGGGCAGGGAAGGGCTCAACGCTGAAGACAGGGACAGTCCCCACAGTGCTCAGCACTTCCCACATTCCCAGTGCCAACCTGCTCCCACAGCATCCGCACCTTCCCCGCCCCCTCTGCCCACCACGCACCTTTGGACCCCGTGAAGAGCAGCTCGTCGGTGGCATCCAGGCAGAGCACAGGCTTGGTGTGTCCCTCTGCCACCGAGACACACTGCAGTGGGGCTGTCCGGGCATTCTTGGTGCCACCCACTGGGTTAATGATGCCCCTTCGTGGGAGAGAGAGAACAGGTACAGTGCAGGGCTGGAGAGGCACTGTGCCCACAGTCCCAGGGCATGGGAGAGCTGTCTCACACCAAGCATCTTCCACTGCCCAGCTGAACCTGGCATGTCTGAGCCAAGGTCTTTGCAGGAAACCCCAGGAGTCTCCCCAGGGGCAGCCCCTTCCCACCTCTGCCCCGGCAATAGACTGGGAAAGGGGGAGGCTGCCCAGTGGCCTCTGCTCTCCCCCTAAACCTCTCGTGCCTGGGCAGCAGAGACTCAGGACAGGTCAGGAGACCCAGCTCACTGGCCCTAAGGTCTATTTTGGGACAAACTGCCCCCTCTCCAGCTGGAAGCTCTGCTGGGATAACCGTTTCAGGGCACCAATATCAGCACCCCAGTCCCTTGGGGGCCATCAGCCTGTAGCTGGTGACATTTGGAGACAGGGCCCTGCTCCTTTACACAGACCACAAGGGTGACAAAGGGCAGCACCAGCTTTTGCACCCCACATCCCTGCCACAGTGGCTGTTCCTCCAACCACTACTAGCTTTGGGCAGGAGAACCTCCCCCTGCCAAACCTGCCTCCAAGGGACACTGCTGCCTGTCCCAGGGGACACAGCACCTGCCAATCCCCTCTACTTCAGACATGCTGAGGGTGCTGAGGACCACCAGCCCAACCCTTCCATGTGTGACCCTTGGGACCCTGGTGTGCCTGGTCAGCAAGCACAGCCACCCACAGCCAAGGGACCCCAGGTTGGGCTGGTTTCTTCTTACAGGCAGGGAAACTGCAGTGTGGGGCTGGGGAAGGGCAAGGTCTGCGTTAGTCACGAGGATAAGCACAGGCTCATTAATTTGGGTTTGGGAATCACATGCATGTGATGGTTCTTCCTCAGCTCTGCACTTAGCAATGCCAACCCAACAGCCCTCCCCTGACTCCCGGTGCCTCCACCAGTCTCAAAGTGTCACTGAGTCCAAGGGGAAATCCTGACTGCGCGGGGTGAGATGTTTTCCACTGACTGTGTGTGTCTGCCTGACTAAAAACTGCTCAAAGTGACACAGCCCAGACTGGTCTGGTGACACTCCCCCAGCAACTGGGGGCCTGCAGGAGCTCAGGGCACAGGCAGAGTGAGGGGACACCCAGGTGCTGGAGAGCTGCTCACAGAATCATGGAATGGTTTGGGCTGGAAGGGACCCTAGACACCATCTCATTCCACCCCCCTGCCACGGGCAGGGACACCTTCCACTAGACCAGGTTACTCCAAGCCCCATCCAACCTGGCCTTGAACACAGCTCCTCTGGGCAACCTGTGCCAGGGCCTCACCATCCTCACAGGAAAAATTTCTTCCTGACATATATTTTAAATCCCTCCTTTTTCAGTTTAAAACTGTTCCCCCTTGTTCTGTCACTATCTGCCCCTGTAAAAAGTCACTCTGCCTGTTTTTTATAAGCCCCTTTAGGCACTGGAAGGCCACAATGAGGCTGATGTTCCTTAAGGATGGGGGAAAGTTGGCCCTTGTGTTGGGAAACCTCCACAGGCAGGTGGGTGCAGTGGGAGAAGCCCAGGAGCACCTTGACCCCAAGGCTGAGCTCTGCACCACAATCTGACTGGATTCCTTTAGGAAAGAGATCAACCTTCCCCAGCTCAGCACCAGGGAAGCACAACCAGGCACGGGGAGAACCTGAGATATTTGCCTGGAAGAAGCTTACACGAAGGACACACTGGAAGCACCCAGGGTTACCTGTCCCCTTCCCTACCACCCCACCGTCCTGCTGGAGAGCTGGGGAAGGTGTGGGACATGGTGGCCTCAGGCTGGCAAGAACCCATCAGAGATGGAGGAGAACATGCTGCCAACCCCAAACCAGGCAGTGCCTGCAGGTGAGCCCAGCGCCGTGTTTCCAAGGGCTGATCCAAGCAGGAATGGCTCTTAACTTGCAACCGAGGGGACAACATCAGGCACTAGAGGTGGCATGCCAGGAGGGGACAGACACACGAGCTGGGAGGGGGGGGAGAGCAGCAAGGTGCAGGCAGAGCATGTGGGGACAGGGAGAGCAGGCACCTGAGACAGAGAAAGGAGGAGCGGAGGAAGGGATAATAAATAGAAAGTTGTCTATACCTCAGCACCTCCGAGACAGAGGAATCGCTGTCATCAGACCTAGGGGCAGAAAATTAGCAGGATTATGGGAGAGAAAACCCAGACTAGAGGAGGCAGCAGTGGAGTCAGAGGTGGAGGATTGTTATTGCATCCAAGCCAGTGTAGGATAGAGAGGAGGAGGGGAGAGAGGGAGAAAGAGAAGCACACATGGAGAACCAGGGGAGAGCAGAGGAGCAGAGGGCATGTGATGATCAGACAGCAGGTCTCCATCAGGGAACGCCGGCGCTGCTAACAGTGTCCAAGCTGAGGGCAGCACCCAACCTGGGGGAGGCTGGAGCAGCATTTGTGGGTGAATGCCAGTCCATCAGTTTCCTGTGAGCCCTCACCCCCTCACCCCATCCTGTTCCATCGCCTTTCCAGGGCCCCAGGTCTGGCACTGTCCTGTCTCCAGGCAGAAGCCAGGAGTGTGAACTCAGAGGGGGCACAGTGGGCAGGAGCACAGCACTGGCACAGCAGCTGCTCCCTCACAGGGAGAAGCAGGGGAGGTAAAGTGGTGACAGGACAACTGGCTGGAGCCAACCCAAGTCCTGGTGCTCCTTTTTGCCCCCACAGGGCTTGGTACGTGTGTGCTGTCACAGTCTGGGTCCCCCTCACTCACACACTCCCACCCCAGCAGGACTTACTTATCCAAGGCAGACCCCTGGCTCTGGGTGCTCGTCAGGCGGGAGAAGACGTTGCGGTCGTTGCGCGGGCGGGTGGGAGGGGAGGAGGGAGGTGTGAAGCCAATGTCTGCAGGCCTGAGCCGGGAAGGATCAGAGGGACGCATGAATGACTCGGGAGCTGCTCACCTGGCACCAGCAGGGCCCAGCAGAGCTGCCCAGACAGCATCCTTCCCCACTCAGCTGGGCCACCCAGCCTCCCCCAGCCACACCACCGTCTCTCCCAGGCTCACCTGGCAGGTTGCCCACGGTCGTAGGATTTCCGCCTTGTCAGGGGAGAAGTGTCTGAGCCTCGAGACTGCCTGGGACTGAAGCGAGGGAACAGAGCAGGGTGGGTGCCTGCCCTGCACTGGGATCCCTCCACAGTGAACACCCGTGTCCTCCCCCACAAGAGTAAATAGAAGTTGGGCTGCCCTGGAGTCACAATCACACAGTCAGAGGATGCCTCGAGGCAGCCCTGAGTGCAGAAGCTTTTGGCAGCCCAAGGTGGCTGATAACCAAGAGCAGGGAGTTGGGGACCTTCAAACCCCCCCTTCTTTCCCTCCTCCTGAAGCACCCTCCTCTCCATCTGCAAAGGATACCAACATATTCCTAAGACACTCTCCAAGTCCCGATGGAGAAATCCACCACTGCTTGCTGCAGCCAAGCCTGGATAGATGCTGGACTGGGCTCACCTTCACCCCTCTCCATCTCCACAGGCCAGACACAGCTTCCCATGGGCTGGCCCATGCCTCCACGAGCCTCCCAGTGCCCAGAGACCCATGACCCCATGCTCACAAGGTGCTTCCTCGCGTGGGCAGGCTGACGGTGCGTGACACCTTCTCCTTGTAATAGGGGTCTCGGATGGAGAAGCCGATCCCGTCCTCTTTGATCTCCATGAGGGATGCCAAGGACTTGGTGATGTTCTTGGTAGAGACGTCCAGCGTGGGTCCCAGACACTCAGCTGACACCGCCTTCATCTGCCCCGAGAGCTTGGGCTCTCCCTAGAGCAGGGCAGAGGGCTCAGGGCTGGGCAGCAGGAGCAGCCAGTGCTGTGGGGTGGGGAGCTCGTGCTCTCTGGCCACAGGAGGCTGAGCTCCCCCAGGTCACACTGGGATGCCCATCACGGCCAGCTCTGCACGCTCAGAACAAACATACTGACAGCCTATACAGAACATTAGCTGCTTCCCTCCACCTCTGCCCTGCACAGGGTCCTCCCTGATGCCACTCAGATCCGCAGGGTTGATGTGGTGGGTGTTTCCCAAGTTTTGGCATCTCAGGACCACAGTACCAGGAGATCTTGGTTCCTTCCATCCAGGGATCAGCCATACTGCCTATGCTAAGCCTGGTTCGCCAAGGTTCAGACCACAGAGCAGAGGCCTGGAGCATTGCTGAACATCCTTCCATCCCTCCTCCCAGTCCCTGTGACAAGGGCCACACAAAAAGGCCAACTAACCTTGAACTTGAAGTCATCCTGGCTTGCTGAGCCCTTCATGGTGAAAGACTGGGAGATGCTGCAAGGAGAAGAGAGCAAAGACAGATCTTCATTGCCAAACTCTCTTCAGAAAGCTGGTGCCACTGGTCCACTAGACTCCTTGGTTTACCCCCTGCTCCCAGAACCCTTTCTCCAAGGAATGACCACATCACTCCCCACTGGTGTCCAAGAGACATCTCTGCTCCCCCCACCAAGGGCTGGGCACCACAGAAAAGCTCCGGCGGGGCTTTGTTCATCCACAGGGTCCCCTGAATAGCACCAGGCATCTTGCCCCAGGCACCACCAGCTCAGGCAGCACCAGGCTGGTGCTTACCTCCCATCTGAAGCCAGGCTGAACTCTGAGACTTCCTCATCCGTGCTGGTGTAGCCGTTCTCTGTGTGAGAGGGAGGCAGCGCATCAGCAGCGCAGAGGGGACCCCACTGTCCCCAGCCCCATCTGAGCCACACGGTGGAGGGGACACCCCAGGCAGCTGTGAGGGGTGACCCCGTTCCTTGTCCCTGTTGTTCTGGTGGCCAGGGCACACGGTCCTACCCAGCATCACCCTCGAGGAAGGATCCCAGCCATGGCACCTCCAGGTGCTTCCTGGAGGGCCAGCACAGGGTGGACACCCCACCCCACCCCACAGGCCAGCGGATGAGCACACCTGGCCTGAGGATACGCACGCCCAGCCCAGGGCCCACCTTGCTGGACGTTGTGGATCAGCGCCTGCAGCTCGGGGTGGGACTCAGCCTTCTCCCGTAGGGCGTCCAGGATGGCGTGGTTCTGTGAGGAGCTGGCCACGTCTGTCTGCCGCAGCCGCCCCTCCAGCAGCCGGATCTGGGCCTCCTTCTGGGCTACCTGCAGCCCCTGGGGAAGGACAGCCAAGCCGGGGCTCAGGCGGGTGTCACAGGTCCCCACCACCAAGTCCCCACCCTGGCACCCTGTGAGAAACCCTGTCACACATCCACACCCCAGCCTGGCCCTGCACCTTGTCGATGGAGGCCTTCAGGAAGTTGTCCAGCAGCAGCCGGGCTTCGGCCAGGGAGCAGGAGCTGATCACCACCGAGGTGTCCGTGGAGTCCAGCTCCTCCTGAAACACGGAGAGACAAGGGCTGGCTGCAGCAGCGGAGCTTTGCCGCTGGACACGGGATGGGCAGAAGGGGCTCCATGGCCAACACAGCACCTCCATCATCCTGCAAGCACTGCCCAGTCCAACACTCGTCCTCCCCAGTCTGCCCAGTGGCTACTGGGGAGATCTGGCCATGGGGTTGTCCAACACAACCTGCAGGGCTTCTGCACTGCTACAGAAATTCTGGGGTTGACACTTAATTAGACACCAAACAGACACCAGGCTCACCTGAATACACAATCCAAAGCCTAGTGTGAATTAACAGCAGCTCTCCTTCCCTGCCAATCCCCCAGGGGACAAGCCAGGGACAGCACACAGCCTCCATTTTGGGCTTCAGACACTGAGGGGGATCAGGAGCTGCACAATGGCACACCCAGTGTCACAAACGGACACAAAACCTGGATAGTTTCTGCTGGGAAAAAATCCAGTCCTCTTGGAACATTTCCAGCACATGAAGCTCCCATGGGGATGAGTGACCAGAAGCACCATGGGCAGGATGGGGGGCCACAGCTTCCCTACAATTCCAGGGCAGTGGGATGACAGCAGCTTGTCCAGGGACATGCAAGGACCTGCCAGCACTCCTCTCCACAATTAACCACCTAATGAGAAGTGACTGTGTGGGTGCAGCCCCAGCGAGTGTGACACAGCTCAGAGGATGCTCCTGCCACAGAGAGATGCTCTCACTCTCCCCCTGACAACTGGGCCCAGTCCCACTGCCCACCTTGGTCTCCTCAATTTGCATGATGGTGGCCTGGCAGTCTGAAATGCTGTCGTTGATGTAGTCAATGTTGGCCCCCAGCACCTCAATCTCCTCATTCAGCTCTTGCAGCCCTTTCTGCTCCATGGGGCTCTCCGCCTGCAGCTTCGCCCGCTTGCCCAGCAACGCCTCCTGCAGCAGTGACAGCTCCTCGCGTTTCTGGGGGAAAAGGGAAGGGGGATTGGCACTGTCTGCACAGCCATCCCCCTGTCCTGCACCCACCACCCGGCCCTCTCCATCCCCAGCACCACGGCCACCTTGATGAGCCTCTCCATGTCCGCCTCGAGGTTGACGATGGTCATCCTCTGCATGACGATGTCGAAGATGCGCCGCTCCAGCGACTGCCACTTGAGGCGGGCGGCTTTGCTGAAGGTCTGGCTTGAGCCCTTCTTGGGGAACTTCTTCCTACAGCCAGAGGGGGAGAACAGGCACATAGGCAGCCAGCCACACTGTGCTGGAGAGCTAGGCTTGCCCCAGGAGGATGCCAGGGCTTTGACTGGCCAGAAGTAGAGGAGCCATCTGCTTGTGGATTGCCCAACTTTTCCATTGCCCCTTAGCAAAGAGGGAAAAGAGATGAGCCCAGTAGGGTTTGTGCCATGGCATTGAATCCTTGTGGAAGGCCAGCTCTGGGCTCAAGCCCAGGTGACAGTCAGTCACACTCTGCCAGCACAGCCCGTCAGAGGGTCATTAGTTTAATACAGGTCAAGTGCACACTAAGAAGCCAGCCTTCAACCTCTGCCACCAGCCAAAAGCCAGGCATGGGGATCTCTGGGATGCCTTACTGTCCACCCACCCAGGCCCTGCCCTGACCTGGCAGGCCGAGCCCCGTTCACAGAGGACGAGGTGTCTCCCAGGAAGTTGTTGATTTTCCTGTTCCACTGGCGCACGATGCTGGAGACGGAGCGAGCGCCGGACTCGGGCTCGGAGGAGGTGGTGCTGGCCGAGACCTCTGCGCCCGAGTCCAGCATAGCCGGCTTCTGGCTCGTCCTGCCCGCCACCCGGTCTGACATGGGCTTGGCCAGACGGCGCAGTGCTGACACCTGCCCACGAGGAAGGGCAGAGGAGAGGGTGTCAGCTGGGCACCCCCACCCAGCCCAAATCTGCTGATGTCACTCTGTAGTCCCCATGGGACCAAGAGCGGCAGCTCTGTAGACCCAAAGCCCAGGGACATTTGTGCCTCATGGGTTTCCCTCTCCTCCCTCATACCCCACCCCTGCCACCAGGCTCTGCTGTCCAGGATGAGGAATTCTGCTGCTGCCTGCAACCATCTCCCACATGGCTCCTGAGCCACCAAACCCCTCCCACCCTTTTGGGAACCCCACTCCCAGAGCTGGCCCTGTCTAAAGGACAGGGTTTCTCTGACCCAGGCACTGGGGGCCCAGCCCTGTATGGTGGGTCTGGGACCTGTGTGGAGACAACCCACTCCCCTCACCTCCTGGGTTTTCCTCCGCAGCACTATTTCCTGTTGCCGCTTCTGAGACTCCAGAGCCCTGATCTGGAACTGCATGAGAGAGAAAGAAAAAAGACACCCCTGGGGTCCTGTCCATTCACCCCAGTGATAGCTTCAGTCCCAGGGCTCCCTTTAGCACAATCTCACTCCTGATCCTAACAGCGAGCAGGTTCCCAGCCTCCAGCTGGCCCTGACTGCACATTGACTCCCGCACATGGCAGGGGAGGGAGCCCACAGCATCCCCCACAACCACAGCAGAAGCTGAGGGAAGGCTTCAGGAACCACCCAGCCAGGTGTGCTGTGCTGGGGCTGCACAGACCCCAGCGAGGTCACGGGCACAGCAGGGCCCCAAGCTTCACCAACCTGAAGTATTTATTGAGCAGGACAAACACCACCCCCCCAGCCAGGCCAGCCCCCCTGTACGGGCACACTGGTGGCACGTGGCGAGCTGGGTTCTCACCTCCTGCCGGCGCTGCTCCTTCTTGAGCTGTGCAATCTCCCGGTTCCTCTTGGTCTCCACCAGCCGGCGCCGCTGCTGCTCCTCCCGCATCTGCTTCATCAGCGCAACCTGCAAGGGAGGGTCCCGTGTGCCCCGACTGCCCCGGGGCACCCGCCCACCCAGCAGACAGATGCTCTGCCCTTGCCACCAGAGTGGAAAACATTGCTCCGAGCGGGAAGCCAGGCTTGTTCAGGGGATCCCTCCCTGCCCTGGCACACCCAGGTACCTTTGCCTTCTTCATCTCGGCCACCTCTGCCTGCAGCTTCCGCAGCTCCCGCTCGTAGCGGGACTGGTTCTTGAGCAGGCGAGCATGCTCCTTCTGGGCTGCCTGGAGCTTCTGCAGGTCCCGGTTCATCTCCTTCAGCCGCTTCTCATAGTCTGCTTTGATCTTGTTGGCTTTCTCCTCTGTGTAACACTCCATGGTGCCTGGTGGGTGAGGAGAGGGTTTGCAACAGCCACGCACCCTGGGATCTTCCTGCACCCGCATACCCTGCCTGGACACACCAGGCACTGCTTCCTCCCTGTCCCACCATAGCCCCCCCTCACCCTCCTGTGGGTTGGGGTCTGTCTGGGGATCCTGCTGGAAAGACCCAGCACGGGGTGGAGACTGCTGGGCTGAGCTGTGTCTCCTGGCAGAGCTGCAGACTGAGACCCACAGCCACAGTATGGGTGACCCTGCCCTGTTTAGCCTGGACATCAGCCACAGCACAGGGTCTTTTGCCCCTCAGTTTCCCCAGGTGTCCTCACTGAAGTGGTGGGGGCTCATGAAGTGGTGCTCAGCGCTACAAGAGGCTTTGCCTCGCCATCCTTCTCCAGCACCAGGGGGGTCCAGAGCTCTGTGCTGACTGGTCCTGCTCCCACAGCAAGACAAGTGGGGTCTTGGGGGGTCCCAGGGACTTGAGCAGAGGCAGAGGATGACAGAACTCTACCAAAGCCAGTGTTGCATGCCAGGGGTGGATGCTCTGACTCTGAGTCAGCTGGGCAGGAGTAGGAACTGGGGCCTGATGCTGCAGGGGTGGGATCCCACAGGTGAGGTGGTTCTCACTGAGGTTTTGCAGGACCCGGTCCCGCTCCAGCTGCGTGTCCCGAATCTTGTTCTGCAGTAGGATCAGCTTCTCCTCATACTGATGCTTGAGGGTCTGCAAGCGCCGCTGGCTGTTCTCCAGCTCATCAATCAGCTTCTGCTTGATCTCAATCTCACAGGTCAGATCTGCCAGATCAGCCTGGAAATTCACAGCTGGAGGCAGAGGGGGACAATCAGGCTGGGAGGGGTGGGGGAGCATCGCTCCCATGGCCCCACTGAGCCACAGTACGAGGAGAGGGCAGAGGAGCTGATGGGAACCCACATTGCTAGGGAGCAGCAGCACCCCAAAGAGTGCTGCAGCAACCCTGGGGCTCTTCCAAGTCCCCCAGAGTCCTGGGGTTCTGCCTTCCCAGGAGCAGAGCTCGTTGCCAGAGACACGAGCAATGCCCCCACATGCTCACACAGGGCTGCACACAGATCTCCACTTTACCCTTCTCCTCTGCATCCGAGTCTGAGTCCACCAGGCTCTCTTCACTGCCCGAGTCCTCATCTTCATCCTCGCGCCCATCCTCTTCCTCACAGCCACTCTCGTCCTGCTCCTCCTCCTCCTAAGAGAGAAGTGCCTAACATCAGCCTGCAGCATGGCCTGCTCTTCTCTCTGCAGCTCCTCCCTCCTCCAAACTTGAGCTCACCCTACAGCAATGTGCCACAGCCCCCACAGTGGGGCTCAGCCTCGCACACCGGATCCCAGGGGCTGCAGCACCATTTCTGGACCCCTAGTGCACACTGCTGAGAGTAGCAGCTCTGTGCCCCATCCATCCTTGCATCCCCTCCCAGCTGAGCAGCCCTGCATTGCCCAACCCCCCTTCACCTGTGCCAATTGAAACCAAGCCTCCAAAATCGTGGACCCCTTGCTCCACAGCAGGGCTGGCTGGGGAGCATCCAACTGCCCCCTGCAGCAGCATGGAGTCCTCAGCAAAACGAGGGCCCCTTCAGGGCCAGCCTGGGCTTGGTCCCTGTGGGGCAATCACAGCACTACACACCCAGACAACCCCTCGGTATGAGCACAATGCCCACTCACCTCTTCCACCTCGTTCTCATCCGTCTCCTCCCCGTTGTCCTGCTGCAGTTTCTGCTGCTTCCTTAACGCCTCCTTCTCTGGGCTAAGGGGGGAGCAGAGCAGGGTTGTAAGTCCCAGTGTGAGGGAACCTGGAAACAGGTCCTGCCGGGACCACCCTCAGCCGCCTGCTTTTGGACCCACTGGGGAAAACAGCCTCTGGAATTGTGTGGTGGGCAAAAAGAAGGCACCAGCAAGGCAGGGCTGGGAGGGGAACCCAGACATCCAGGTGGATAGGTGAAGCAGGATACCCAACACCACAAGGAGCAGTCAAACCCACAGGCAGCCTCTCCACTCCCCAAACCTCTGCCTTTACCTCTTCCTCTGCTGCCTCCGCTCCTTCTTTTTCAGGCGCTCCAGGTCCTGCTTGGCCCGTCGGAGGACATCGGAGGCCTCTGAATCCACTGGCACAGCGGGGCTGCACAGACCTGCCAGGCCAGCAGCCGGGGAGGAGCCCATGGAGTAGGGGGGCCGGGCAGAGGCTCGGGACAGGCTGCGGCGCAGGGACTCGTTCATGGACTCACTCTCCAGAAGCTTCGTTCTAGGGAGTGGAAACAGGATGTAGTCAAAGAGGGGCCATCCCACTGCCCCCAGTTTGGGTTGGGAGGGACCTTAAAGCTCATCTCATTCCAACCCCCTGCCACGGGTAGGGACACCTTCCACTAGACCAGGTTGCTCCGAGCCCCATCCACTTGCAGGGATGGGACTGGCACAGCAGCTTTGGGCAACCTGTGCCAGTGTCTCACCACCCTCACAGGGAAGAATTTCTTCTTAACTTCTAACCCAAATCTCTCCACTTTTAGTTTAAAGCTGTTCCCCCTTGTCCCATTGCTGTGTGCCCATGCTTAAAAAAAAAAAAAAAAAAAAAAAAAGAAAAAAAAAATCCTTCTCCCTCTTTTTTAGAAGCACCATTTAGTCACTGGAAGGGGCTCTAAGGTCTCCCTTCTACAGACTGAACACAATGTGTTCGGATGGTGTAAGCCAGGGATGGATCCACTACTAAGCCATTTCAGGTACTGATGGGTGAGAAAGTCACAATGCTGCCAGACAGGGTCCCAGGATCATGCAAGAGACTGGGGTGGACCCAACTTTGGGGGGCCAGCAGTCCCTCAGAGACCCCAGGCACTCCCAACAGGATCACCCCCTCCATCAATGCTTACACCAAGGACAACAATGGCCGAAGCACTGCCCAGCACCAAGGCTGGGCCTCCTACAACCCCCTGTAGCAGCAGTGCCATCAGCTGCTGTTCCACGGGGCTCACAGCTCACCCCAGCGACACTGGAGGCAGCGAGCTGTGAGACACACAGGCTCGGACCCAGCCACCAGGACCCCAGTGACACACCAGCCCTGCACCCACTCACCTCAGCTCTTCAATCTCCCGGATGTAGTTCTGGATGAGGGTGCCGATGGCTTCGTTACCATCCCCTGCAGGGGCAGAGGCACAGGCGGGTCGAGGCAGGCCCAGGCTGTACCACAGACCCCGTCCCAGCCGTGCTGCCTGGTGACCCACCGTGCCACGCGCTAGCCAAGCCTCACCTGCCTTGGCCAGCATCAGGTTGGCCTCCTGGCTCATGAGGTAGGTGACCCTGCTGTTGATGGCATCGATGGCCTCCTGCATGGCCTTCACCCTCATGCGCAGGGCGCTGTTCTCCTTCTGCAGCATGGTGTTCTCACGGAACAGGTCGCTGTAGCCCTCGGCGCCATCCTCCCCGATGACTCGCTTGCCCTGTGGGACAGGAGGGAAGCCCCTGAGTGCAGGGTGAGCTGGAAGATGGGGACCCACCACTGCATCCCTAAGGGCAACCCCAGACACCACAGCAGGGACAAACCTAAGGACCAGAAAAGTCTGAGCTGAACAGGCAGAGGGTGGGAGATGTTTCAGGGCTTCTCCCTGCCTTAGCACTCCAAAAACCTGCCCAAGGTCCTGCTTGTCACAGGCAAGACACTGTGTCTTAAGCCTCCTGACTCCTCTAGACATTACCCCTATCCATAGGGGTAGGGGATGGGAAGCAGGAGGGTCTGTCCCACTAAACCTGCCCCAATTCAAACATGAGGAGTGGGGCTTTCTGCACCTGCCTCCATCTGCTCACCAGGCCCACTCCATCAGCTGGGTTTGCCTGGGGTGGATTAAATTCTCCTCACAGCACCTTGTGAGAACTGTGTTTGGGATCTGTGCTGAAAACAGCACTGATTCCACAGGGATGATTTAGCTCTTGCTGAGCAGGGCTTGCACAGCACTAAGCCCTTCACCCTGCCCCACCAGCAGTAGGTCGAGGGCGTTGAAGAAGCTGTGGGAACACAGCTGGGACAGCTGCCCCCCACTGACCACAGGGATATCCCAGACCATACAGTGTCATGCTCAGCATACAAAGCTGGGCAAAGGAGGAAGAATGGGGGGTATGTCTGGAGTGTTGTCCCAAGTCACCATTACACCTGACAGAGCCCTGCTGTGCTGGGGATGGCTGAGCATCTCCCTGTGATGGGACATGGGGAATGAGTTCCTTGGTTCACTTTACTTATCAAACTGCCTGTATCTCAACCCACGAGTTTTCTGTTATTCTCCCCGTTCTCTCCCCCATCCCACTGGTGGGGCAGTGAGTGAGCAGCTCCATGGCTGGCCAGGGTAGGGTTAGGATGGGGTACAGGACCACTCACTGCCTTGTACTCCATCAGTTCCATCTGCAGGCGGGCGATCTCGGCCCGCAGGGCACTGATCTGCTGGCTTGTCTTGTCCTGGTTCACCACCACTTTGTTCTTGATGTTGCGAGCCCGGTTGGCGTATTTGAGCGTGTTCAGGGTCTCCATGAAGTCCCGGTCAGAGGGGCTCACACAGGCAATCATGATGGTTTGGCTTGGGGATGCAAGGGCAGGGTGAAAGCCAGTCCCCCCCACGCTGTAGCAGCTCAGCAACTAGAAAGCCAGGGCCCAGCACAGGCCACGTGCCCCCAGACACCCATCCTGGATGGGGAGCCATCTATGTTTTATAACCAAGGTATAAAGTGGGTTCATCCCTCCCAGAGCCAGAGCACCCACAAGACCATCGAGGCACCACATCACACAGCAATGAGCAAAGGTAGCTCCCTCTGGTCAGCCCACCCATTCTGGGATTGCCAGGGAAGAACCGGCTCTTTGGAGAAGAGGCAGGGAATTCAATCCCCCCATGCAGGGCACCAGCACCTGCCAAGTCCCAGACCTGCGAGGGCTCAGGAGGGTTTTGCATCAGCTGATTCTGCCAAAGCTGCCAATTGCACCTTGGGCTGATGAGGAGTCAAGGCCTTTACATCTGCAGAGTCATGCCATGCCTGGAAGAAGGTATCCCCTCCCCACTGGGCACCCACGGGAGTGCTGAAATAGCTCCTGCACGGCTCCAGAGCCCCTCAGCCCTATCTGCAGAGGGACAGTCCTGCAGCCCTAGCCCCAAGCTCAGCCCCCCCCTTACCTGTTTCCCCCAAGGGAATCCTGCAGCAGGCGGGTGAGTTTGGAGTCACGGTAGGGCACGTGCACGACTTTCTTGCTCTGGTCTCCGAGGGCACTAATGACGTTCCCCAAGGCCAGCTACCAACACAAAGGGAAGGCCCCCAAATTCAGCCCTAGCTGAGCATACAGCTGCCACACAGCCAGCATGGCAGGCCTGGGGCATGTGCTGTGGCACAGGTTTGGGTTGCACAAGGGGGAGGCGGGGGGCTTCCCTTGCCAGTCTCACCTTCCCCCCTCTTCCCTGGCCTGCGCCTTTCTCCCATGCTGCACTGAGAAGCAACATCGAGCCCCAGAGTGGTCTTTTTAGCTCAGATTAGCAGACCTCACACTTTTGGGACTTGCACCCCTGTGCTCAGCTGCACCCCCCCCAGCCCTGCCCTTGGCAACAGAGCCGTGCTCTCACCACTGGCACTGTGAACATTCCTGCCCTCAGGGCCGGGCAGCACAAACCCCAGCTGAGACAGCAGCACCCCAACAGTGTAGAGCAGCTCTGGGTAGGACCCAGAAGTGTCACAGGCTCCCCCAGGCAGGCTCTGCCTCCCTGCTCCCCCTGCCCGCCGGTGCCAGGCTTGGCGCCGTACCAGCCCGCAGTTGATGGAGATCCCTTCCTTCGCCCTCTCGCCGGTTGCTCCCGTCCGCTTCAGCCTCTCCGAGCCAGCCAGGTCCACAAAGTGAAACTTGGCTGTCAAGGTCTCGTACTCGGTGGCGGGCTGGGATCCATCCAGGAGGCTGGTCACCTCCCCGTTCACCTGCAGCCAGGGACACAGGAAGGGTCACCACTGCAGACCCGGAGCAGGCAGAAGGTGCTTTGGCTGCACTCAGATGTCAGCAAGAGCCTGAGCATTCTCCCTCCACATCCAGCCCCTTGGGGATGGAGATGGGACTCCAACAACAGCTTGCTCTGAGCCATCCCTGGGCCAGATCATCACTGCCTTGGATCAGCTCACCCTCAGCTCCCATTAAATCCGAACACTGGCTACGACTGGAAAGAAGACAGATTTCAAACCCTCTCCCCTTCCCAAGGGACCTCCACGCATTGCCTGGGTATGGGGCCCAGGAACAGCCTGGCCATGAGGCAGCAGCACATCTCACCAGCTCTGGGCGGGCACACACTCTCGTCTGGCACAGGTGAATGGTGAAGATGGCATGGGACCGGGAGCTCTGCACGTTCATCTGGGTGCTGGCGGTGGTACGGGAAAGAGCTCCCTGCTTTAGGCACTGGATCAGCTACAATGACACCAGGTAGGGAAGGAAACCTTGAAGCACCTTTGTAGGGAGTCAGGACAGACCCTGTGCAGCCCAGTGGACACACCAACCTCTCCCAGAACCCCCTTGGGACTGCACCATGCCACCCTGGGAGAGATCTCCCCGTGCCGAGATGTCCCCACACAGCACACCCCTGGCCAGTGGCACCCAGCTGCCACCCCTGCTCCACGCCTGCCCACCCCACACCCACCTCGTCCTGCGAGCTGATGAGGCGCGACGTGACCCCCGTGGTGTAGATGCTCCCACTGGCATCCTCGTGGATTTTGATGTTGGATTTGCGGTGCCGCGCGTCAGGGTCGCGGGCGCTGTCGAACAGGTCCAGGATCTCCTCGTTGTAGAGCTGAGTGGGGCAGCAGCAGGCGTGGGGTGAGCAGGGGGAAGCAGGAGGCTGCTCGAGCCCTCTGGCACCCCGGTGCCACCCCCCAGAGCTGGGGCTGCACATCTGCTCACGCGTGTGTGCAAGGCTGAGCAGGGCAGCTGGTGTGTGTGCGAGCGTAGGAGAGGAGGCACAAGCCTGTGCATGCAGAGAGGAGATGATGCACAGAATCCTGGAATCCTTCAGGTTGGAAAAGCCCTCTAAGACCATTGAGTCCAACCGTTCCCCCAGCACTGCCGTGGTCACCACTAAACCATGTCCCCAAGTGTCATGCCCACACATCTTTTGAACCCTTCTGGGGATGGTGACTCCACCACTGCCCTGGGCAGCCTGTGACAGCACCTGATCACCCTTTCAGGGAAGAAGTTTTCCCTAATACCCAATCTAAACCTCCCCTGGTGCAACTCGAGGACATTTTCTCTTGTCCTATCATTTCTTACTTGGGAGAAGAACCCAACACCCACCTGGCTCCACCTTCCTGTCAGGGAGTTGCAAAGAGTGAGAAGGTCCCCCCGAGCCTCCTTTTCTCCAGGCTGAGCCCCCCCCAACTCCTCCAGCCACTCCTCATCAGACTGGTGCTCCAGACCCTTCCCCAGCTCCATTCCCTTCTCTGGACATGCTCCAGGCCCTCAATGTCTTTCTTGTCATGAGGGGCCCAAAACTGCACCCAGGATTTGAGGTGGGGCCTCACCAGCGTCCAGCCCAGGGGGATGGTCACTGCCCTGGTCCTGCTGGTCACACTATGGCTGGTACAAGCCAGGATGCCATTGGCCTTCTTGCCCACCTGGGCACACTGGCTCATGTTCAAGCACCCCCAGGTCCTTTCCTTGCCCACCAGGAGCTTTCCAGTTGCTCTGCCCCCAGTCTGGAGCACTGCACGGGGTTACATGATGCACAGGCGAGCTCTGAGCTGCCTGTGCAGGTACCAGCTGGGATGGGATGCCCGGAGGAATGGGGTGTGTGGGCACACCTGTGTGCAAGTGTGCATCCACATGCCTGTCTGCCCCACAAAGCTCTGAGCTGCACTCTGGGTTGGTTCCTGCTGCCCAATCCTGTCCTGTCCCTGGCCCACACACAAGCAGCTCTGCAGGAATGGGACATTTTCAGAGCCCTGCCTCCAGAGCCTGAGCAGACACCCATGAGCTACACATCCTCCTGACTTTCCTGGTTCACCTGAGGAGCCCCAGCCACATGAGCCAGCGGAGCCCCACTCCCATCACAACTCCCTGAGGTCATCTCTGCCAGATGGAAAGGAGATGAGGGGGACCAGGGAGTGCTGGACAAGCAGGGAAAACCCTGCAGCCCCGGAGCTGGCAGAGGATGCACCCCCATCCATATCTTGACCCTGCAGCATCCTCTCTCACCCTGGGGTGGGGGGACACCCCTGCCCATCTGTCCCCTCACCACCACCACTCAGTATCACCCTCTTGCACTCACATCCCAGTGCAGAGAGCAGGGTCACCCAAGGACTGCAGGTTCCTGGCCAGCAGGACGGATCAGGCTAATCCCTCCCTGGCTGCCCCAGGTGCAACTGGGCTCCTTGAGTATTTAAACCTTCTCCCAGGAGCAGAGTCACAGGACAGGGATCAGCTGGGCAAGTCCTGTGCCCCTGCTGGGACAGTGGGTTGGTGACCAGTGCCTGATGTGCCCAGGCTGGCACAGCAGAGCCATTATCACCACAAAACCCTCCCTGTGTCACCTGGATGAGGGTGGCTGCAGAACAGGGCTTGGCACAGTGGCTCAAGAGCTCCTGGTTCAATGTCCATGCTGCCAGGGTGGACCAACAACCTTGGTCACTGGGTCACCAGGCAGCAGGTTTTATTCTCCCCACTTGTAACAGAGCCTTCAAGCCCCCTCAGCTGGAAGATCCCCCCCACCCCAGGGCTGCCAATTTCCCTGGTGAGCAGTTTTGAAACAAAGCAGAGGAATCCTTGTTCCCACCCTCCCCCGCAGCCACTGGACAAACATCTGAGTCTGAGAGCCAAACCAACCAGGGTCAGAGGTGATGGAGAGAGGGAAAGACTACAGGAAATGCCCACAGCAGTTGTGTGACCCCACGCAGGGCTACTGCTCTGTCATCCTCGAGTCCACCTCTTGGTCTGCAAAGATGTTTCCTAGGATGGCCTGGTCCAGAGGCAGCACTGGAGGCACCCATCCTTCCAGTGTCCCAATCCCAGCAAACAGGTCACCCAGGACAGGCAGGAAACTGTCCCCACTTCCACCCCAGCCCACAGGATCCCCAGAGAGGAGCCTCACGAGCTGAACACAATTGGGAAGGCACCCAGGAGCTTGGACAGGCCAAGTGATGGGAAGGGAAGGACACAACAGCAACAACGTGGGACCTAACAAGGGCTCTGCAGATGAAGACCTAAGTGGGAAGGATTTCTCCAGCAAGGAGGTGACTTTGGGCACTGCTTCCCCTCTCCAGGCCATCAGCATCTGGAGACACCCAGATGTGATGGTCAACAAAGCCACCTGGAGGCAAGATCACAGCACAGGGCCCCTCCCTGCCCATCTCCCATGGGTGCACCCCAGGTCAGGACCCCAACCAGACGAAGCTTGCTCAGGAGCTCAGCTTTGTTCAACAGCACCCTGTGCTTTCTCATTGGGGCATTAAACCAGTTCCCACTCACACCTCTTTGCTCCTTCACCACAGGAGCAGCCCCCAGGGACACTGCTGCCAACACATAAGGTCCATGGGCTTCCCAGGACAAACTTCTCCAGGGAATGAAGCAGTTAATAGAAGAGGCTTTTGAATTGGAGAAGCCAGAAGAGAGGCGGGAGAGGATGCATTGAAACACTCTCAAGGTCAAAGGTCATGGGAAATAGCACAGCCCTTCCTCAAATCCTCCCAAGAGTGGCCACTTTCTTCTCTCCCTGTTTCACTGGCAACACTGGTCCAGACACAGGGCAGCAGGTATCCTGCTATTCTGGGCCTCAAACAGGGGTAAGACAGTCCAGAGCCCCTGAATCCCCAGAGGACCAAGCCATAGGCCCCTTTCCCATGGGGGGACTCCCTCTACCCAGTTTGTAGCCATCCTGAAGCCAACAACACCCAGGTGCTTTGAGTCCCCCCTGCACCCGCACACACCCCCGGTCCCACCACGCCTGCCCGGGGTGCAGCTCTGTCCAGGAGCAGTCAGGACATGGACTCAAGACACGGGAGCAGAGAAGGACAGGGCAGGGCCACGGTGTCCCCCAGAGCTCCTGTCACCCACCTCCAGGAACTGGGCGCTGACTTTGAACTCGGGGGCTGCCACGCCCTGGCTCTGAGCCGCGCGCTTGCGCTCCTCGATGCCACTGAAGAGGTGGCCGATGGCCCGCGGGATGATGCCCTGCTCCTCCTCGGAGATGCTCATGTCGAAGCCGGTGCCCATGGTGTACGTCTTCCCCGCGCCAGTCTGTGCAGAGACAGTGAGGGGAGAGCTGGCCGTGTTCCCCCCCCCCAGCTCAGCTCTGCCTAATGC